GAGATGGTGTCTATATGGACACTAGTAGAGTTGCCGACTATGGTAAACTTATGTGACCTAATTATAAACAACATTTAGCCGGTCTAGATGCTGGAAATAGAGTAGATGTAGAAGGTAAAAAAAATCCAACAGATTTTGCATTATGGAAGTTTTCGCCAGTTGATGCACAACGTCAAATGGAACGAGATAGTCCGTGGTGAGTATGATTTCCAGGATGGCATATCGAGTGTAGTGCGATGAGTAAGGCTTTGTTGGGAGAACATTTTGATATTCATACATGAGGTGTAGATCATATTGCAGTACATCATAGTGATGAAATTGCACAGTCAGAATGCTGATTCTGCGATCATGCACCATGGGTTAACTACTGGATGCATGGGCAGTTTCTTAATATCGATGGTGCCAAAGTGTCAAAATCTGCAGGTGATGATTTGGGTATTCCATGATTACAAGAAAAATGATATGATCCATTGGACCTCAGGTATTTTTTCTTTACATGACAATATCGTAGTTTTTTAGAATTTACATGGGATAGTCTTGATGCTGCTAAAGCTACAAGAGCCAATATGATTAAAAAAATACATGCTTATGTTGGTGATCGTATTGTAGAGTTTTACGATGTGAAAAGAGAAGATATAAATGATATTCTCTATCATCAAATTGTCATGCCATTATTGGATGATATTGATACGCCAAAATTTATTGCACATATCCAGAAAGCATTAGGAAATCTGAATGATGAAGTGCTTAAAGTAATTCTTTATCTTGACCAAATAGTGCTTAAAATTGGCTTGTATTCATGAGTAGATGCTCTTACATCACAAAATCAAGATGCCCCTGAGGAAATACACATTCTTGCTCAAAAGCGTCGAGATGCAAAGAAAATAAAAGACTTTGCTCTAGCAGATCAACTGAGAAGAGAAATTACTGAAAAGGGGTGGGCAGTAGAGGATACTAGTGAGGGGTATCATTTGACTCTTCTACAATAATTTCAGTGCCGTTTTTTTCTGGCACATGGATTGTCCAAAGTCCTCTATTGTTTGGTTTTTTTGCAATATCATTTCTGCGTAGTAGTTCTTCAATCTTTTTTGCTAATTGTACTCTTTGTTCTCATCCATGTACGATGCTAATATGTGCGTGTTTTGCTAGATGTAATTTAGAAATATAATGCACTAATTCTTCTTGATCTGCATGACCAGAAAAAGAAAAGTTATGCACAATAGCTTTGTTTGATAGAATTGGTTTGTCATTTACAACAATGGGAGTAGAGAAATCTTTCTTACTTAATTTATGTCATATTGTGCCTGGTGCTTGAAATCATGTTGTTAAAATCTTTGCGTTTTTATCTTCAGTTGCATGATGCAAATATTGCATAATTGATCAATTTTCAAGCATACCACCTGAACAAATGATAATTCTTCTTCATTTTCCATGCATAATTCCTTGTATCATATCTTGTTCTTTTAATCGTTTTATTTGTGGAGAACGTAGTTGTGCATATTGATTTTTTATGTCTTGTGCAATGTATTCTTTTGAAATATCATATGCTAAATTGGAATGACAGTAAATCATTTCATTGTTGTGTAATTTCAGTAATTTATTTTTAACAGCCTCTCATAATAATTGTACAATTTCTTGAAATCTTTGTAAAGCAAAACATGGAATCAGTACCAATCCTTTACTATGTTGAATTTCTTCAATGAGTTTTTGTGCTTCTTTTTCACGATCTAAGTGTATCTTATCACCATAAGTTCACTCTATAACAAGATAATCGATTTTTTCTTTTGGTATTTCTGGTGTTCATGCTTTTCATGGTTGTTTGAATCTTCAAAGATCTCCAGTATAAAGCATGTTAAAAGTGTCTTTGAGGTTTTTTCTTCCTCATATTTTGAGCAGTGTCTGTACTGATCACTGTATATGTCATGCATTATAAAATGAGACTTTAACCATGTCTTTTATAAGATTATGGTCTTCATGAAGAGGGATCGTTTTAATATTATCTAACATGACTTTTACATCATGTTCATTAAATTCTCTATGTTTAAAAGATGGTTTATATTTTAATAGCTCTTGATTAATTTTATTAAGTTTGATGCTTTGCCAGTTTATATCATATTTTGCTACAATTTCTTGTGCTTTTGTAATATTTATGATGTCTTTAGATTGTTGTGTTGTATCAGGATCTTCTATTTTTTTATGTAATGTTTGATTTAGTAGTTTGATTGTGTTTGCTCTTTGTGCAAAAATTTGTTCTTCGCGTTCTTGATCTTCGTATAGTGCGCTGTGTAATCTTGTGTATTCAGGAGAATTATAAGGGCCACTTCAAGGTTCTTCAGCTGATGATTAATGTGCATTGTCTACGGGCATGTGTATAGAAAAGTATAAAAAGTATATGTCTTTTATTTGATTATGGTATAGACATATCGATCAGAATACTACTCCTATGTTTGTAGATTGCAAGAGCTCTTTTTGATACTGCAATAGTGGTTTTGAATTGGCTTATAACCTATGAAATAAGCATTCTCATTGAAATGAGAAAAGACTATTGATTCTCTACGAGCATCTAAATAATCAAAAGAACTCTGCTGTAGCGAAACATTTTTTACTATGTGTATATCTTGATTTTAATTGTAGCATCTATATAGTGTAGGTGCTATTATTTAGATTTTCATGTATTGTATTAGATGTTTGATTTTGATCCACAAAAAAATTATTATGAAATATTATGATTATGAGAAGAGGCTACCGAAGACGAAATAAAAAAAGCATTTCGTAAACTTGCTATGCAACATCATCCAGATAAGTGATGAGATCAAGAAAAATTTAAAGCTATAAATGAAGCATATCAAATCCTTTCAGATGGTCAAAAAAAACAACAATATGATGCTGTAAGAAAATGAGGTGGTGGATTTGGTGGTTTCGGGCAAGGAGGATTTTGATGAGCAGGATTTGGAGGGTTTGGTGATGGTGCAACATTTCAATTTGGTGGAGATATCAATGATATTTTTGGTGACCTCCTAGGCTGAATTTTTGGATGAGGTGGTGGATTTTCTAATAGACCAAGAAAATGAGATGACATAGAATTACAACTTAATATTTCATTTGAGCAAGCGTATGAATGATTCTCAAAAGATATTCAGTATAAAAAGGTCATAGATATTGATATGAAAACAAGAGAAATGAAAGAGGCTACTGACACTGTAAATGCAGAGGTGCCTGCAGGGATTCATAGTGGACAATATCTTAAATTTTGAGGTAAATGACATGCATGACGTAATGGTGGTCCTGCGTGAGATTTGTATATCAAAATATATATTAAACCATCTGCACAATATGATAGAGAAGGTGATAATATTGCCGTAGTAACTGATATTAGTATCGTAGATTTAGTACTAGGAACTGAAGTCTCAGTGCCTCATCCAGAAGGCAAAGTATCAGTAAAAATTCCAAAATGAACACAAGTTACAGATATAGTAAAAGTATCATGAAAGTGATTTACAAAGATGGCAAAATGAGGAGTCTTTGGCGCAAAACACTGAGATCTTTTGGTAAAACTTCGTGTATCAGTGCCTAAAAAGTTATCGAAGGAACATGAAAAACTATGGAAACAACTAAAAGGAGAATAAATAAAATATACGCATATCTGTATTTTACATTTTACAAAAATAGGCAATGCATTTGCAAAGTGAATTCTTTGAAAAAATGTTGATTTGAAAAAAAACATTGGAAGTACGTTTGTATGATGCAAAAAGAAAATTGCTTGCCATACATGATATTGTAGAGTTTGAAAATGATGACTGTGAAGTGATCCCTTGTGAAATAGTCTCTCTTAAAACATATGATAGTTTTTCTAGTTTACTTGCAGCAGGAGATAATTGTAAAAAAGCATGATTTGCAAATCCAGAAGAAGCTTTGGCAGCACTTTATACCTACTACACCCCTGAACAAGAAAAAGAATACGGAGTAGTGTGAATTGAGGTGAAACCAGTGTAGAATAGTTTATATATATCCTTTAATCAAATGCTTGAATTTATTACATATCGTGAGCAACCGAGTCGCATCTTAGCAGCGATTCCTTCTATTTTAGATACATTGTTTGATGAACATACATTAGTATTATATGATATAAGAAGTGTTATTATCCAGTCTGCTTTGCCTCATATACCGTATGTTGCTACATATGATCAAAGGGTTATTTCTATTCTTAATAATGCTACTGTTGTATGTAGTGAACCCTTTCCAGAGGCACTTCTTGAGTACTATAAATCTTTTTGATTATGTAAAAATGCTAGTGTAATTACTGTGCCACATCAATCGACTATGACATTAATTAACCAGATTT